ACTGCTTTGTTTAGGAAATCTGTATCAACAGAATTCTCTGTACTATGACTCTTCGCAGAAAACCGTAGTTATTAAGTGTGAAATTCACTCCTTTCCTCATTGACTTATTCACACATTTATTATTTCAGCTTTAATAGGGAGTGAAACCTGTGCTGAAATTAGGTTATATCAAACCCTAGAAAAGAGATAAAACACCTAGCATGCTCTTTCCAAAAGATGGGAAGTTGACATCTGAGGAATAGATTATACAGCATGGAATTAAAACTCAGACTTCCTTTCCCACTAGCACTTTCCATTTGTAATTTTCCTTTGTACAATTAGAAAACATAAAGCAGAAAAAAATGTATTTTGGTACTCCGAGGATTTGCTCAAAATTTAAGAGCTCGTTTTAAGAAAACAGACTCAAATATAATCTACCTACTACTCATTGTTAATCAAAATGCTGCTGATAATATCCTATGCAAGAAGGGAAGACTGCTGCGCAGGGTAAAGCTCAATCACTCAGATTGATGGCATGATAAGTAAAGAGCTCTTCATCTCCCGCTTTTGCCCAGGTCTGTAATGTGACAGGAAAACCTGCAATCCTTTTCTGACAGCATTTCCCCAACAATTATTCTAACTGCTACTTTATTCCCCATAATGCAATAAAAGCAGTTGTTGATGAGGAGCTAGGAGGCTTGAATTTGACTGCCAGCACTGCCATCAGTACCTTGTCCTTTACTGCTACACCACTAGGCTGTATGCTGGCCTCATAAGCTCTTCCTACCTCCTGAGGCTATTCTAAAGGCCAGGGAAGATCCCAGAAATACCAGCTACTCCCCAGCAAAACTAAAACAAAGACAGAAACAAAAAGCCCCACATAATCAGATTCCGCTTGCATTCTACAAGATGGGGAGGAGGAGATACAGAAAGGATAGACTTCTTACAGAGTCTAATTGTTGAGATTGGGGTCAATATGGCAAAGTGAGGTAATCAGCTGTTTGTGATGCCAGTTTGAGTCCCACATACTTCACTTCCAATCTAGCTCCCTGCTAAAGTGCATAGGAAGACAGCAAATATGGCCCAACTATTTGGGCAACTGCCATTCAAGTGGGAAATTCTAGCTTTAGAATGATCCAGACCCGGCTGTTGCAGTATTCTAGGGAGTAAAGCAACAGATGGGAGAGAGCTCTGCTACCTCCTTCCCTCTTCTTCTTCCCTGTCCCTCTTTCTGTTGTCCTATCTCCTATCTTTCAGGTAAACATATATTTTTAAAAATGCACTGTTTAGGGTGCAGCACAATTACACAGCAGGTTAAACTGCCATGTATGACAACAGCATCCCATATGTACCCTGGTTTGAGTACTAGTGGTTCCACTCTGGTTTCAGCTCCACGCTAACGTGCCTGAAGAAGCAGTGGAAAATGGCCCAAGTCCTTGTCCTTCGGCTCCTGACACTCATACGTGAGACTGAATGGAGCTCCAGGATCCAAGCGTTGTCCTCTCTCAACCCCAGACTTTCTGGGCATTTGAGGAATGAAGCAGCATAGAAAAGATTTCTCTATCTATAGCTTTGATTCCAAATAAATAAATCTTAAACAAACAAGCAAAAGGCCAAAACCAAACCAACAACATCCTCCCCCCACCCCCGAAATCCATTCCCCCAAAATGGCAATAGTATGCTAAACTACTTTCAGTGCTGGCATCCTTGTGAGCACTGGTTCAAGTCTTGCCTGCTCCATTTCTAGCTCTGTATTATGGCCTGGGAAAGTAGTGGAGGATGACTTAAGTCTTTGGGATCCTGCACCAATGTGGGAGACCCAGAAGCTGCTGGCTCCCAGATTCATTTCAGCTCATTTCTAGTCATTGTGGATATTTGGGGAATAAATCAGTGGAGGGGAGCGCTCTCTCTCTCTCCTTTTCTCTGTAACTCTACATTTCAAGTAAAAATAAAATAAACCTTTAGAAAAGTACTTTCCCTTTAAAATACCATAAAACAAAATGTAACATATAACAATTAATTTGAAACTTGGGCTCTAAAGCCAGTTTTATGCTGTTATAAGACAGTAGCCAAATCACTATCTTCTCTGAAACTCAGACTTACCATGGCTCAGGTAAAAATAATATCTCTGCTGGGGCCAACATAGTGGTGTAGTGGGCTGATCCTCTGCCAGCATCCCATGGAGGGGTAATGGATGCCCACTTTCAATTCAGATCCCTGCTTATGGCTTGGGAAGATTGTGAAAGATGGCTCAAGTCCTTTGGCTCCTGCAACTAAGTCAGAGCCCCAGGAGAAGGCTTATGGTCCTGGTTTTGGATTGGCTCAGCTCCAGCCATTGTACCCATTTGGAGAGTGAACCTAGGAATGGAAGACTTCTCTCTGTCTCTCCTCCTCTCTGTGTAGGTCTGTTTTTATTATTAAAATCTCTTTAATAATAATATCTATGCTATCAATATTAGTTTTGTCATGAGGCTGATAACACAATATAAAGGTAGGTTAAAATTATAAAAACATTGTTAAATTGGGAACAATAACAAAACTGTTATCACAAATGCCTCTTTGGTGTCTTTTTACTGTTGGCATTGAGCAGAATGTACAAGGATATTTCAATATATTCATGGAAAATAAATTTTTAAAAGTTTATTCTGTTGCAAAAAAAAGAAAAAAATGCATGCAATTTTTTTAATAATGTACATTTCTGTGAA